AAGCAATAGTCCAGTCCTTGCCTGAGAGCACAGGACCCTTTCTCAATAACTTACAAGTTTGGGGGTTTTGTTTGGTTTTTACATTTGGGATGACCTTAAAGCCTTGTTTACCAGCTGCCTACTTGGTACACAGTCCTAACTATTTACTCCCCCATTTCCTTGTTTTCGCCTTTAACCGTGTCAGAGCAATAAGTAAATATCATGCATTGAACTACTTTGATGAGGTCCTAAATTTAGCCCTGTTTTCCCCTTTTTGGCATGATCACCTCCTTTTTCAGGGTCGTGACCCAAAGCAAAGAGACTCTCCGAAAAGAGAATGGGTGAGTCTCGGCACACTGATCCATACGCTCGTATTTGGTGAATTAAAACTGAACACAGCACGCCCAGATGAAACCTACTTTGCCGAGTCTTTTCTTTTTCCTTCCTGTTTCTCAATATTTCACCAATGGAAACTTGTACTAATTCAAAAGGCATTCCTAACCACGGCTCAGATTTTGATAAGAAAAGTGCATTATGATAAAATGTGCCTGGAAGGAACACCTTAACCCCCCGCAGGATAATGCCACTTTTATGGGCCACACCTGAGATTATAATACACAGAGCAAATCTGAGCCTAAGAGGTCTTTATATCTCTTTTCTTTTATGATTTTATTTCCCTTTCATTCAATGGCTTTCTGAAATCATTGGAGAAATTAAATACAATTCCTAGGCCCTTATGAATGCAGATAGTAAAGGTCACTCAAGTGGTGGGGGTGGGGAGTCCTTCAGCAGTGTGGCTGGGTATCTGAAAGCCTAGTGTAGCACAGAATGTAATCAGTGGTTCTGGCTGGACACACCCTGCCCTGCCCCGCCCCCTTTTCAAACCAGTAATGCAGGTACCAAGGAAATACTAGAAAACAAGGAAGTCACAGAGCAGACTCAGAAAGATACTCAAAGTCTCGCTCTGTCACTATCTCAAATCAGGATGTGTTGTTTAATAGCTCTTTATTTCTCTGTCTATGAACATGAATATCACTAGTGCCTTTCTTTTAGACTTGATTTGAGGATATGAGAATATGCACACAGAGAGACAGACGGATATTTGTGAAGGTGTGTGTGTGTGTGTGTGTGTGTGTGTGTGTGTGTGTACGTATATACATAATCCTGCTCAATAAATGTTGGATGACATGCCCCAGGCCTTAGTTTCCCCATTTCTAAAACAGGAAGTTCGATCAGTGGGCATAAACTCCCTTCCCATCGAGTTGGGTGAAATGGAACCGCCTCTCAAATTCATAGACTTTCTGAAAACCTCCATCCCAACTGGCTGAGCCAGGGAAAGTTGTTTCAATTAAGGGTTATGGAGAACGATGCCATTTGATTCAGTGATTGCTTTGCAAAACTTTCTTTGGAAATAAATTTTTTTCTAATAAGATAGATACCTCCAAAAAATGATTGTAGTTTCTTAAGAAAAGGCGTTCATTTCAGAAAAAAAACAAAACCAACAAGCTGCTCGCTGGGATGAATGCCAGCTGTTCAGACTGCGAGTGCTTGTGTACGGTGCGGCCATGAAGACTCTGCACAGCAGAAGTGCCATCGAGATGGCTTCTGAGCAGGCCAACTCATTCCAGGGCCGTCAGTCCAGCCGTTGATCAACAACATGGGTCCAGGATGGGGGAGCCAGGCCGATCACAACCAATCTCATGATTCCCCAAGACCATGTTGAATGAACTAAAGAACACTTTTAACTCCCACAGTTCACCTGCAAAAAATAATTGTTTTTAATGTTATTTTGAAAGCATTGTATGGATTAAGAGGTGTTAATATGCACTTAGCCTTCATGAGAACTGGGGAATTAAGAATTCCTACATGGTTTCTTCTGTGAGAGGCCTTTGATGAAACACGTGGTGACCGAATGAGCTTGAGCCTCTAGTTGGTCACTGAGCTGTTCCAAACCAAGGACTCAGATTTCTTCCTTGCAGGAGAAAGCCATGGAGGTGGGTTGATACGGTAGCTCTTGCCAAAGAATTTAAAATAATACTGAAAATTTAACAGATCTGACTTTGCCATTTATTCCTCATACATTAAATATTCTCATTTAACCAATTGTCTCAAACTGCCTCTCCACAGTAGAAAGTTAACCTTTATGTAGAATCTATTTTAATAAATTATCATTCCAGAAGCAATACTAAAAGATGACTTTATAAATTACTTCATCTATTACATCTTCATTTTCTTTTCCACAAGATGGAAATTAACATATTAATCATCATTAATGTTTATTTGTATATTATTTACACAGTATTTTGTTGGGTGCTTTTAGATAGATTATCTTCTTTGTCCTTAAAACATTCATATAGAGCAGAGGCTGATTGATTATCCCTGTCTTCTAGGTAAAGAGCATGGGTCCTTACAAAGTTCAGAGGCTTGCCCGAGCTGTGCCCGTTAACAACGAGTCGGAGCCAGAATTCAAACCCAGGCATTTCACAGTCATACTGCCTTGACCTTGAAACTTAGGGTCTTCCCACAACACCCCAACCTAGGGGTAGAGTTCCAGGAGAATTTCCTCAGCCTGTGCAATCCTTGTCATGGCAAGAGTATGTGTGCAATTATGGACAAGATTGCAGGCACGGATCATTACACACTTACTATGTTTCTTCTAGTATGCCAATATTCGTGTAGGTTGGAGTAGCCCTAGGTTTGTGTCTGAAGGTGTGTGCTCTGTATTCTCGGAGAGACACGCGCCACTGACAGTCACACAAGCTGTGTTGCCCTGGAAACAGCCAGAGACACGAACAGGGAAAGAATCCCAGAGTCACAACTGGCTAGCTAAACCAGAGAACCTAGATGTGTGAGATTTGGGAACTGAATCAACCAATACCAAAAAAAGATGAAATTAGGTCACCTATGTGAGACTCAAATGCATAAATTTGGCTTTGCTAATGTGCATCATTGATTAGACAAGTTATCTCCTAAAAGCTGCATTGAAATCAAGTTTATATGAAAAAGAATAGCTACTCAGCAACTCTCACTACTAGACAATTTTGTTGGTTCTGCTGTTGGGTTTGTCTGTTTGCTTGCTGGCTTGTTTCTGCATTGCTTGTCAAGGTATCAAATTGTTTCTGTATTGAAAGAAAGCCCTGGGGTCAAGCTGTGGACCCATAGACAACCTGGAAGGACCTGACCTTCCCCTTCTGATCTCAGCTCCACCCTAAGTGAGGGCAGTTGTCAATGCCCTTTGTATCCCACAGGACTCTGAAAGCAGAAAGATGGGGAAAGTTTTGGCATGGTTTTTTAAGAACTACGATCTTGTTGGATAACTTTTCTGTTTGATTAAACATAGGCTATAGTTTGAGATGGTCTTTTTTAGAAGTGTTCATTTTTTAAAAAATGTTAAAAAATAAACTTCTAAAAAAAAACCACCATTTACGCAAATAGCTTATTTCAATTTGGTTTTTGTCTCCCTCTATCAAAAAGTACAAAGCAATTACTCAGAGAGATAATTGTGGGGGTCAGAGGAACTGAAGACCTGACCGATTAGCAAACCTTCCACTTCCAAATTCTCCGGCTATCACAAGCAAACCAGTATGCTCCCAGCTGCCAAACTCAAAGACTGTGCAGGGGAGGCCCAGCGGCAGGCTGAAGGCAAAGGCTGGAAATATCAGCAACTTGAAAAGAGAAGGCCCATTTGCATTCGTGAAACTATTTTTGAAAGCTATCCTAAGTAGTTCACTGGAATGTTTAACAAGAAATAAGAGACATGTCCCAAAAAATGAGAAACTGAGCACCCATGAAAGAAAGGACAACTCAGGTTTCAAACCTGAGTCAGAATCATAATTGTCTTCACTTGTGCTGGTCACCAGAACCCTGTGAGCCTCTGAGCTTCAGAGTCTTTGGTTCTCCCTCCCTCCCCTCCTCTCCTCCTTCTCTCAGTCTATCGTCTCTCCTTCCCCACCCCTCCTTCTCTCAGTTCATCATCTCTCCCTCCCTCCCTTCCTTCTTTTTTTTCTTCTTTAATTTATAGTGCTAGGGGTCAATCCCAGCACTACAAGCACACACTGTACCACCGTGCTACACTCTAACTCAGAGTTTCGGTTCATCAAATCCCATTCTCAAGATGCTGTGAGGACGTAATAATGAGAATACAAGAGACGGGTTAAGTGCATGGACTGCTGGACTCCACAATTTTATTTTAAAACAAAATTAGAACAATTGAGGTGGCTTGGTTACAGAGATGAAATCCAGGCAACGGAATCATAGAGTTACATAAAGATACACAGAAAAGATCAACAAGTTACATAGAGATACACAGAGAATATCAACATCCTAGTTAGGTAACGCTTCATGTCTCATCATTAAAGGGATCACAATGCACTTTCTGGTTTTTAAAAAGAGTAATTTTTTAAAAATATTTATTTATTTATTTATTTATTATGTATACAATATTTTGTCTGTGTGTCTGTCTGCAGGCCAGAAGAGGGCATCAGATATCAGTTCAGATGGTTGTGAGCTACCATGTGGTTGCTGGGAATTGAACTCAGGACATTTGGAAGAGCAGGCAATGCTCTTAACCACTGAGCCATCTCTCCAGCCCTAAAAAGAGTAATTTAAAGTATTTGCAGTTATAAAATCCAGATAAATGCTTTCAAAACTCCAAACTATGGAAACTATAGGAAAAAAATCTAAAATTATGCTAAAATTATTTAGCTGAATTTTCACAGAAAATCAAAACATTTAATACATATACTAACAATTTCAAGATGAATCCAAGGTTCAAACACCAAGAAACTATGTCTTATGTCAATTGTAAAACATACTTTGCTGTATGCTTGGGAGAGCTGTATGACATGGAGCTTGTCCAATTCACATTACATGCTGCTGGAGGTTTGTTCCATCAAGGAAAACTATGATAAAACTTTCCATACAAATTATTATTTGCATTGTCCCTTATTTTACCTTTTATGTAAATATGGACCTTTTAGAGGTCATCTGATGAGTCATAGATGCCCCACCCAGCTATGCCCCTCACTCCAGCCCCGCCCCTCACCAATGGTCACTCAGAAACCCTGGAGGGAGGGAGGTCATATCATCCCGAACCAGGTCCAGAAGAGAGTCTTGGTGAAAAGCCAGGCTGCCAGAGCTGTCAGACCTGGATTTGAGACTCAGGGTTGACACCCACTAGATACAGCAGTGTGGACAAATGCCTCAGCCAACAAAAGACTCTGCCTCCTTGTCAAAGGGGAATGAATAAGAGATCTGACTGTTCCCAGCTTAAACAAGAGACTGTCTTCAAATCACGGAGAACAGCAGATGATTGGTTAGTTTTCTCTTTGCTGTGACAAAATACCAGACAGAAGCAATTTAAGAATGGACTGGGACTGGAGAGATGGCTCTGCAGCGAAGAGTGTGAAATGCGCTTCTAGAAGATTGAGTTTGATTCTCAAAACCTATGTCAGCCAATCCACAACTACCATTAACTCCAGCTCCAGGAGATCTGATGCCCTCTTCTGGAAACATATACGCACTGCACTTACATGCATATACCTACCCATACACATATATAAACAAAATTTAAAAGCCATCAAAGTATTTTTTAAAAGAAAGTAATTGGGAAGTGTGTGGTCTCAGAGTTTGAGGCTACTATCCGTCATGACAGGGAAGTAAAGGCAGCAGAACTGTGAGGCAGCTGGCCACATTGCGTCTGGAGTCTGGAAGCAGAGAACTGAATGCTGATTCCCTGGTCATTTTCTTCCTGTTATTCAGGAAGGGAGCCTTGCCCATGATGGTGCCACTCATATTGAGGGTGGTCTACCCTTCTCAGTGAAGCTTTCTAAAAGCGCCTTTATAGACACACCCAGAAGTGTCTTTCCGTGATGATTTCAAATTCAGTCAAGCTGATGATTACAATTAACATCACAGTGTCAACCGATGTGAGCTACTGCTACTCTTCCCTAGTCGGCACAGACGGCAGGAAGAAGTTATTCCGTGCAGCCAGGTCCTTGAGCTCTCATGCTATGCTCTTCATACAGCATCCAATGTGTAAAGAGCACAATAAGCCCACCAAGGACTTTGCCTTTTAGACCCAATAATGGAACTCCATTAGCTTAGGGAGGAGAATAAAAAAAAGTGAAAAAAGAAAGACTATGTACGTCTTTCCTTGTACCTCTGTCGCATCTTATAGGGTTCCTAAATTTCAGGATAATAAGAGAATTAAAAATATATGTCAGTTGATTATTTTATGTGCCTTTTCCATTTATTTGATTTGTGTGTTTGTGTGTGTGTGTGTCACAGTACACATGCAGGAGTCAGCGGAAAAAATTGTAAGTGGATTTTTCTCTGCAGCTGCTTTCCAAACAACCACTCAGAGTCTTAATATTAATTATAAATGCTCGACCAATAGCTCAAGCTTGTTATTAGTTAACTCTGACACTTAAGTTAACCCATATTTCTTATCTATACTTTACCACCTGACTTGGTACCTCTTCCCAGTATGGCATGCCCATCTTGCTTCTCGCTGCATCTGCTCGCGACTCCAGACTCCGCCATTCCTCTTCGCAGCCTTCTCTCTGTGTCAGGCTGTTTCGCCCAATCTCTTCCTGCCCAGTGATCGGCCAATCAGCTCCCTATTAAAATGAGAACAATGCGTATTTACAGTGTACAAAAATTGGTTCACAGAGACAACTTAATAGGAGTCAGTCCTCTCCTTCACAGTGTGGTTCCAGGAATCAAACTCTGGCCATCAGTCTTGAATCACCCCCGAATCATCTCATCAGACTCGCCATCATTTATTTCTACAAACCCAGAAATTATAGGTCTATAGGAGAGTCATTTCATACAGATACGACAGGAAAAAGCACACAGCAAGAGATCTGATCTATTGGCTTCATTTAGGGCCAATCAAATACTATTGTTATCTTCTTAATAGAGTAGAGCTTAATCTCAAGCTTTTACTGACCATGAAAATGCTCGCAATATTTGGATTTCTCAACTGTGATCGTTCATACAAAGAAGCTTGATCAAGACTCTGTGACACTACTGAAGTGTAGTAGGAGAGACTATGAAAAGTTATTGGCAAGAATGTCCCACAAAATATGAAAACAGCAAAGATTCAAATGAGTTGAAATAACATATGATAGTGGACCACACTGGCACTGGACCACACTGGCACTGGACCACACTGGCACTGGAATTGCTCTCTGATCTTGCCTTCGACCGAAATCCTTACATCCTACTAGACCAGCATTCTCAACCTCTCACAGTGGTCACCTAAGATCATTGGGAAAAAAAAAACCGGTAGTTACATTATGGTTCATACCAGTAGCAAAATTACAGTTATGAAGTAGCAACAAAAATAAGTTTATGGTTGGAAGGGTCACCACAGCCTGCAGAATTGGATTAAAGAGTCACAGCATTAGAAACTTTGAGAATCACTGCTGTAGACTCTACTGAACGTGAGAGAGAAGATAGTGGAAGAACTCCCCCCACTCCTTAGTTTGTTAGTTTGTGAGAAATGATTGCCTTAGCCAATGACCATGTCCTAGTTGCTTTGCTGTTGCTGAGATAAGCAAATTTGTGATAAACCGCTTATTTGGTTTAAAGTTTACAGTCCATCATTGAGAAAAAACAAAACAAGAACTCAAGACAGGACCTCAAGGCAGGAACTGAAGCAGAGACCAGAAAAGAAATTTGCTTACTGGCTTGCTCTGCTTGCTTTCTTATACAACTCAGAACCATCTGCCCATGAGTGATACCACCACATCAATTATTAATCAATAAAATACCCCCGCAAGCACAACCACAGACCAGTCTGATAAAAGCGTAACTGAGGTTCCCTCTAGAAGAAATCTCTAGAGTATGACAAATTGACAAACCAAGACAGCACAGGCTTCTTCGTCTCTTTGTCTTTTGCCTCTGAAATTTGGAATCTCCTTTAATTTGGTTCTAAATCAGAAACCTCCATTAACGATCAGGAGAGAAGAGAGAGTAGAGAACGTTGGTGGCTCCAGGAAGAGAAGAGAGATATGTAGGGGAGGCTCCCTCTAGAATGGTGCTCAGTGCATGGCGGGAGAGTAAAGAGGCCCTGCCACTGCTTATCCTGTCGTGAACACAGCAGGCTGTCCTTAATTCTCTCTGTATAAACATTCTAGGCACTGAAACAGCCAAAATGAGTAAAACTTGCTAAGGTATCATCTTGAACGAGTCGTGACGTTTAGGGAAACCAATACCACATGTGATGCAAATACATTTTATACTACAGGATGGCATGTGCACGTGCTCAATGTGAGACACAAATAATGGCTAAATGGAGTCCAGAGAACAGAAGACTGAACGGGAAACTGAGGCTGTACAGGAGCGTATGTTATACAGGATGGTATTTTTGTCTGAAGGAGGGAGCGAGAGCTTGCAAAGCCCCCGGTTTAGGTGAAGGCAATGGGGAGGGAACGTGCCACGATGAGATGATAAACCTTAGCTGAGGGCCAGAGACCTGAAGGGATGCTGGAAGACTGGTCTTGCTCAAGGATAAAGGGAAGAGCAGCCATTTCAACAGAGGAGATGCTGGGAGATGCTGCAAGCCAACTCACAAATAACTGAGTACATCTTTTTTTTCAAACATCTGTTTTTAGGCAGACTTTCTACAAGAATATGCAACATTGGGTCAGAAAACCTTTTGTGTACTAATAGCTCTTAATAACAAAGGTATATGGATGAAAAGGAGGGGAAAGAATGCCCAACCATTATGGCTTCAATTAAGTAAAATTGATCCTCGGTTGTAAACAAAGAGGTAATATTAATTCTCGTAGTTGATGCTGGATGTGAGTGGTATGATCTCCAGAGAAAACAAGGTCCTCGAATTTTCTAAATTTGCATGACAAAAGTTTAAGAAAGACAGATTAGAAAACAAGGCATTTCTCCCCACCCCCACACACACCCTCGATAGCCTCAAGACTGAAAAGGAAAATACCATTCACTTCTCCACACCCACACAGATCCCTGAGCCCACACTGTTGCCAGGGCTGTGGTGGTGATCTTGCTTTCCTTTCACAAGGTCCAGGGCAGTATAATCACCCTGAGTAACTTCACACTGAGGACTCAGGTTTCAGATCTGGCTCAGAAGCGTCCAGCATGAAAGCGGTTCACAGACCCAAGCAGGGTCTCCAGTTACTGGGAATGAACAAAACCTGTTCAATAAGAGGAAGTGGGTGTGGGGAACACAACCGGAAACTGCTGGATTTCTCAGTTCCTCCTCTTCCTTTTTCTATTCCAAGTCCCCGTGGTCCTACATCTTCAGAACCACCAGCTCCTATCCCATCACAATGTAAAACAAGTCACTACAAACTAGGGGCACCAAATTTTAATACGGTTAGTTGGGGAAATTTTTTATAGCTTTCTGTACTTATAAAATATTGCCCAATTACCCAAAAAAAGTCCAAAAATAGTCCCTTTTCTTCCTGTAGCATATAGATGGAAGACACGGCAACCGAATGTCTAACCCAAACTAAGCACAACCCCAAGGCTCTAGATCTTGCTTCACATTTCCACAGCCCCGATGTTCACTGGAGACCAATCACAGTACAGATGAAACTGCCGGAGCAGAGCAAAGCAAAAGCCATCTCCGGACTCCAAACGAGTCAACGACAGAGCCAAGATTTAAATCCTGACGCCCTCTCACGGGATGTCCACATCCTTAACACCACATTATAAAGGTGCCCAGAAGAAAGGCCTCCGTGAGTCTGTACATATAGAACAGACTACATTTTACTCAAATTTCTTGAGGATGAATTATTCAAATGGGTTATCGCATCTTCAAGGGAAACTACTGAAAACCACCCTAGTATGGATGAAATGCCCAACTCAGGTGTGCGAGGTGAGAACATGTATCCGCATGAGTGGCTTGATTACTGTTCCTATCCATCGATGCCTGCCCCATCCCTGAATACCAGGGGTACTGGACCCCTGGCCTTGAAAACAGATGATCCTTTCAGCCTTGATTATACTCAATCAACAAACTCCTCATCCAGCTCTGCATGTTTGACTCACCCTGTAGACACGTGTAGTTGGTGTACTATGCTGCAACGCTGAGGATTTATCTGCTCCCATGGTTTCTGCAAGAAGGCAAATATCAACTAGAGCACAATGTCCATGGGATTATGGGGTCTTCACCAGGAACGACTCTAAAGCAAGTTCTAGCGGTCAGCACCTTTTCCAGAGTCCTCCACATGTCACATTGCCCTGCAAAGCTGGGAATGCAGAAACAAAGGCTTCCAGTGTCATTTCCATTTCTGAGAAGACTGAATTAACGTTGCCAGGGAAACAAAATCTCGGTTTCCTATTAAATTCACTTTCAGCTTACCTGTTGGGCCTCTCAAAGCTGGGCTGAAACATAATAAAGGGAGGGAGCTGCGGTCCTTTTATTAAAAGCTCTCGGAGCACATATTTCCCAGGTAAAGATAATCCAAAAAGAATAGATTGGGGCAACACTCATCTTAAAAGAGATTCAGCTCCTCCCAGACTGAGTGTGTACTATGGGGGTGGCAGGATCGCCATTAGATGGTGCCCTCCAGGGTCCTTCTAACAGTAACCGAGGAAGTGCCGGACTCCAAAATTTCTCATCTCTGTTTCTAGTGGACACAGTTGACCTCAGGATTCTCTGTTCTGATAGAACTTGCAAGCTATGTGTATGAGGCGGCAACAGAGCAGAGAGGACTGGGACTAATGACTCGGGGAGAGCTGGAGTAGCATCGGGAGAGGAGAGACCATGTGGGAAAGGAGGAAAGAGAGAGAGGGAAACGGCCTGGTGTTTAAGGTTGAAGCATGAGAAGAGCTAACACCGTAAACCATAGATGACACCGGTGCCGCTTGCGTCAGGGCACAGCAGGTGGTGAGGGTGATCTAGAGAAGGGCTATGGGTTCCACACAAATGTAGATGTACCTGCGCGAGTATGGGCTTTTCTCTGCTTAGCCAGAATGCACCGTTGTCTTCAGCCAGAATGGCAAGAATTTCACAGAATGATTTTGCTAGTATCTGAGCACTCCCAGCGATTTGGTGAAGCCCAGTTTTAATCCATCATCAATCCCTAAGGACCAGGAAGAGGTTTGCGCTTTTCAAATCTCAGCCAAGACATTGTTTCCCGAATACAGCTAGCCCAGCTCTGCAGACTAGATTTAATCCATGTTACAATCTCTCAAAGCTTTGCTCCCATTTTCGTCAAATCACTTACCATTAGAAGCTACACATTTCTATTTTTCTTTCTTTCTGTTTTCCCTTTATTAGACTGCAAGATTCTTACTATTAAAAAATATGTATGTTTGCTTCCACTAAGAACTATGTTCTCGGTTTCTGCATGGAGCCTAGCACATAGTAGGTGCTCAGCAATGTTTGTTGACTAAATAAATGGACCTCAAGCATATATGTCCAAGAGGAATCAAACCATCCCATAAGAAACAAGGAGAGCAAGTCAGCCTGGCCCTTGAGAGACTTACCTAGCAGGTACCCATTTCCTAACAGTGTTGCTCAAAGGGTGAACCAGATAAAATGTGGGTCCAGGATGAGTTTGAATAGCCTTATCATCCACATATAATGTTGTCTCCATGTTTAGCTTTTTGCTTATGATAAGCTTTCAGA